GCTGTCCTGAAACTCACTATGTAGACCAGGCTGGCCTTGAACTCACAGAGATCCACCTGCCTCTGCCTCTCGAGTGCTGGGATTAAAGGCGAGCGCCACCACGCCCGGCCTGGTGTTGATTGTAAGCTATATTGCATTGTGATCTGATAGGATGCATGGAATTATTTCAATCTTTTTGTATTCGTTGAGGTTTGTTTTGTTCCCCAGCATATGGTTGATTTTGGAGAAGGTTCCATCGGGTGCTGAGTAGAAAGTATGTCCTTTGGTGCTTGGGTGGAATACTCGGTAGATGTCTATTAGGTCCATTTGATAAGTGGTGTTTAATTCAGCTGTCTGTAAACTCTCTGTCCTTTTGACCTATCTAATGGAGACAGTGGGGTATTGAAGTCCCCTACTATTAATGAGTTGGGATTAATCTGGGTCTTAAGGTCCTGTAGTATTGTTTTTATGAAGTTGGGTGCACTAGAGTTTGAATATGTTCATGATTGTAATATCTTCTTGGTTTGTTGTTCCTTTGATCAGAATGAAATGGCCTTCTTTATCTCTTTTTAAAGTCTATTTTGTGAGATACTAGAATTGCAATGCCTGCTTTTTTCTTAGTACCATTTACTTGGTATATATTTTTTCCCATCCTTTCACCTTAAGATAATGCTTGTCCTTGAAATTGAGATGAGTTTCTTACAGACAGCAAAAAGATGGGTTTGTTTATTAATTCATTCACCTAGTCTTTGTCTTTTGACTGGGGAGTTCAGTCCGTTAATATTTAAAGTTTTTAATGAAATATGTGTATTGAATCCTGTCATTTTTATTTCTGTTTGCATTCTTGTTATAGCTGTAGTTTTCCACAGTTATACCTTCATTAAACTTCTTTCCACAGCCCCTTGGGTATAGTCCTTCTCTTCAGCTCTGTGTATTGCTTCCAGAACTCTCTGACAGGGTGGTTTTGTGGACATGAATTCCTTCCATCTATTTATGTCATGGAAGATTTTTCTTTCCCCTTTGACTATAATAGACATTTTGGCTGGGTATATTTTGGGTTGGCATCTGTGGTCATTTAAAACTGGGAATACTTTGGTCCAGGCTCTTCTGGCTTTCATAATTTGTGCTGAAAAGTCAGCTGTAATCCTAATGGCGTTTCCTTTATATCTGACTTATTGTTTCTCTTTTTCAGCTTTCAGTATTGTCTCCTTGTTCTGTACATTTAGTGTTTTTACTATAATGTGCCGTGGAGAGTTTCTTTTCTGGTCCCGTCTGTTTGGTGTTCTGTATGCTTCTTGTATTTGTGTGGGCATGTCTTTCTTTAATTTGGGGAAATTGTCTTCTACGATTCTGTTGAAGATCTGGTCCATGCCATCATCTTGGGATTCTTCTATATGCCTGTGATTCGTAAGTTTAGTCTTTTATGGTGTCACAATTCCTGCATATTCCATTCTGTGCTTTCTTAAATTTTTCATAATCTTTGCTTGAGTGGTCCAGTTCATCCACTTTGTCTTCCAGTTTTGATACTCTGTTTTCCATTTCATTCATCTTATTGGTGAGGATTTCTCCTGTTGTTTTTAATTGGCTTACTGAGTGTTTCACTTCCTTCCTCATTTTTGCCTCAGTATTTGTCAGTATTTCTAGTTCTTCTCTGAATTCATTCAGAAGTTTATCCCTATCTTCCTTCAGTTCTTTGATTTCTTTTTGTGTGTGTGTGTGTGTTCTTTAAATTCACTGAATTCTTTTATCATGTTTATAATTGTTGTTTTGAGTTCCATGTCCTGCAGTATCTCTAGGGGGTTCTCATTGTACTCCTCTAGAGGACTGTTGGTATTTGGTGGGTGTATGTTATTTTGGTTTTTCGTGTTACTATTTTTTCTCTGTGATTTTGACTTGTGAATTTCTTTTGTAGTTTCTGATTCTTGTTTGAAACTCAAGCCGGATTTAGTATTTCTTAGATTTCTTGTTTTCCAAAATACTCACCAGATGAATTCTTCTTTCATGAATTCCTTCCATTTAATAACTTGCATCACCAGCGAGTTTTATTGATTTCTGTCAGCGTTATTGTAGACTTCAGATTTTAGTAGTTGTTTTAGTTTCATTTCTGTTGCTGTGACACATACCCTGACAAAAAGCAACTTAGAGAAGAAAGGATTGATTTGGCTTACAGTTCAAAGTTTATTCCATCATTTAAGGGAAATCAGGCAGGAACTCAAGCTATTAATCACATCATGTCCACAGTCAAGAGCAGAGAGATCCTCATGCATCCGTGCTGCCTGTTTGCTTGCTCAACTAGCTTTTTAAACTCTTACACAGCTCGGGGGCCCAGTCCAGGGGATGGTGTTGCTTGCAGTATGCTGGATCAATTAACAATCAAGGCAATCCCCACAGACTAGTCTGAGCTAGATAATTTCTCAGTTGAGACTGTCCTCCCAGGTTGTGGCAAGTTAACATTTAAAACCAACCGTCACAGCAGTTTAGGTGCTTTCTCATTTGCCTTGCACATTTTTTGACTTACATGTCTTTTGATGTCAGAAAACCAATAATTCTCACTTTGAGTAATTTCTAGAGTGGCACTCTTGCCAGGCCATTTCCCTGTTAGCTGAGGTTCATAGCCAAAGGTCTCTGGGTGACCCCATTGGAAAGGTTAGGATCCCAGTCCACAAGAGAGAATGAATTGACCCAAGATCCAGACATACTGCCCTGTTATCTTCTGATTCTCTCTTTCAGGAGGTTTGTGAGAGGGTCGAGGCCTTCTGTAACAGCTCCATAGTGATCTCAGGCCCAGGTATTCCATTCTGCAGAAAGACATCTGCCTGGTCACCAGTCTGGGAGAAGTCTGGGAACCCAGTGGAGTCTACCAAACTTTCTTCCATTAGTACAATTTGACTTTGATGGCAGCTCTGTGAGATGGTACAACTAGCCTCACCTTTAACACTAAAAATCAGAGCTTCAGAACTACTCTGTAGCTCCTCTTCGGATCTGTACTTTGAGAGTAGGCAAGCTAAGACTTAGTTTCACATGTCCTTGTTTTTCCTAAACCACATTCAGCTGCACTCTTAGCTCTTGAAGGCAGACCCACACTTCCCTGACAGATCACCCTTGGAGTGGAGGGACATATATACTTGTCTTTTCTCATTCTTTCACTTTGAGAAAAACCTGTGGGTGTTTTCTTTTCCATTTATTTATTTATTTTTATTTTATGTGTATGAATGTATTACCTTCATGTATGTAAATGCACCATGTTGTTCATGGCCCAGAGAGGCCAGAAGAAGATGTTGGATCCCCTGGAGTTAGAAATGATTGTTAGCTTCCATGTGGGTGCTAGGAACCAAACCCAGGTCCTCTGCAAGAGCAGCCAGAGCTCTTAACCACTGAGCCGTCTCTCCAGCCTGAAACCTTTGTTTTTGAGTAAAAAGTTGGATGGGGTTAATTCTTGACTTACCCCCTTTCTAGGTGTCATGTTCACAGGAACTTGATGATTGGTCAGCTCATCAAGCTTAACCTTTTCTATTTCTAGATGATGGCTTTGGATGTGCCTCTATGAAGAAATACCACGTGGCCCCAAAGCAATTATGTTTGGTAAGTCACTTGTTGAATTGACTCAAGAGCAGGAGCCCATGTCCTTCAGGTTCAGGGGTGTGAACAGAACATGAGGCATGTCTGGATCTATGGAGACCTTTGAGAGGACATTCTTAACTAGGCTATGGCTCTGTTAATTAACTTAACTTGTAAAGGTTGGTTTCTTCTAGAGCCAGCAGGAGTTGTAGCACACAGAGCTGGACAAAGCCGAAGCTCCATTCTTTGCTGTTTAACCTACTTCTGATAGAGTGTGAGCTCTGTGCAGAACCGGGGCAACCTTGATCTGATTCAGCTGTGGTGGCATTTTTGCCACAGCTCCATCCATCTTCAGCACCTTCTCCAATGGTTGGGTGTGGATTGTCACTTAACACTTTGTAGAAAAGAGCCCGAGACCAAGACACACAGGAACTTGGGGAGATCGGGGAAGGACACATCAGGTGAGAGCTTGAGCTTTGTTGCCTGTGTTCTGCCATGCTGGGGAGGGGGCATGTAGCCTGTGGGCAGCAGACATCTTCATGTAGCTCTTACCCTTCTATCAGAGGTTTTGTTGTGGTGAATTTGCGTAAGATTGTCAAGTTCTCTAAGGCTTGCCAATAAAAGCAGCAAGAAAATCTTAAAAACCCTATTTTATGATTACTTTTAGACAGTCATGTAATGTGCCCTATTTTGTTTGAAGAGTACATGACTTCTTTAAGGAACCCTATAGGAGCCCAGGAATGGGGGGGTGGGAGAAGAGAATAGAAGGTGGCAGACATCACAGCCCAGGTCCTCACCTCTTACCTGAGATACTAGTCTCAGTGTTTTGCCATGATTAGATTCAGTTTCCTTTCTATTAGAACAGTGTTTCTCCATCCCCACCCTCCCGAATCTTGCCCTTGTTTGTTCCTATTTCTCAGGTCTCCTGCCATCTTAGGAAGCCAGGGCCTGGTGACATTCTTCCCCAGGTATTCAGGTGAAGTCTGACCCAGGAACAGGAGCCACATCCTCGCCAATGACATCATGACAGCAAGAGAGCACAGCCCTCGCCATGGTGCCAGGGCCCGAGCAATGCAGCGGGCTTCTACCATTGATGTGGCAGCTGACATGGTGGGCCTCTCTCTGGCAGGTGAGTCTCACAGGCCTACGCTGGACTCCTGGTTATGAACTTGCAACATGCAGATTCTGTGCTTGAACAGTGTTGAGAGGGCCAAGTCTGCTCCCCAGGACACCAGGTAGACAAGCCAGATAAAGAGGGTACCCTGATGTCACTCCTCCTGGAAACTGGTGTGTTGAAGCTTGATCATCCTTGCTTTTCCAGCTTGGGTGGACACCTGTGGGCTCATCTGCCAATAAGCAGCATAGAATGCCATCAGAAAAGCCCTCCTTCTGATAGCTTGTAGACCTCAAGAGGAGACTTGATTTTGGCTTCTGAGATTTCTTCAGAGTTTGAAAAGCGTGTTTCAGAAGTATAGGAATCATCTGCTGTGATGCCTTGGGGTGGAGAGGGAGGAGTGTATATTTCTTGTTTTCATTTTTCCATGAAATCTAAAATCTAGGAACAGTTTACTGAAGGTGATTTTTTTTCTGTCATTTCTCTTCTACTCAGGAAATATACAGGATCCAGATGAGCCCATTTTAGAATTCAGCTTAGGTAGGTATCTTTCTTTGGATTTTTTTTTCCTGTTTGTTGTTATTTGAGAAAAATGTGTCATTTAAAGCAAACCTGCAATCACTAGCATTAGTTTGTCCCCAAGATCGGCCTCACTGTTGAGGTGTTTGGGAGAAGAGGTCATGAACTTCCTGTGGGCTGGAAAGAGCCTCAGAAGCTATATGAACTCAGGGTTCCTGTCTTCTGAGAAGGACCTGCCCTCCTGTCTAGGGTGTGCTTTCTGCATCCTGAAGCAGCCAAGGGATAAGGAGGTGTGCCCAGCTGCTGCAGAGCCAGCCTGGTCCTTTTGCCCTCTACTCCCTGGGAGAGGAAAGAGTAAGGAAACTGGGTGTAGGCTCTGCTTTGGGCTCCCTGGCCATAAGAGTTCAGCCTTCCAGCTCATGGTTCCCTACTCCTTACAAGTTGCCAGTGACACGTGCATGCTGCTCCTCTCAGACTCAGATGTGAGAATACACTGAAGAATGTGTGTAGTCCTGGGTCAGGGAAATGTGGTATGACTGTGATTTACTCAGAAAGCTGGAGCTATTCTGCAATATGTCCTCTCCAGAGTTCATGCTATCCTGTGCTGTTTCCTCTCCCTCACCACTGTTGAGGGTTGTCAGCATTGACTGATGGCCTGGCAATGATGTAATTACATAATAAGCTAACATAAAAGAGGTCCCTCTGAGGGAGTCAGATAACCCAAATCATAGTTCATCTGTGCCAAGCTATTAACAGAGTTTTAGGGCAAAAACCCTGGTTCTGGGAGTTGCAAAAGACTAGATAGAAGCCAAGGTTGGTGGCCCAGGCCTGTAATCTCAGCTCCTTGGGAAGCTAGGGCAAGAATATTGCTGTGAGCTTAGGCCCACACGGGGTACACATGTAGTAAGTTCAAGATCAGCACGGATATGCAGGGAAAACTTCGTTCTCAAAAAAAGAGTCCGGGCGTGTTGGGCACAGGCCTTTAATCTCAGCACTCAGAAGGCAAAGGGAGGTGGATTGCTGTGAGATTGAGGCCAGCCTGGTTTCCATAGTGAGCTCTAGGCCAGCTATTGGGAGACCCTGTCTCAAAAAAAGACACACATGCAAAAAAATAAAATAAAATAAAAAAAGAAAGAAAAAAGAAAAATTATGAAAAGCAGGGAGATCTTTTTATCAGTGTTCATTGAGAAGAGGAATAGATTAAAGAATGCTATAACACACTCCCTCCCCCGCTCCCCAGTTCCTCTCCAGGGTACTGACATGACCTTTAGGTTTAAATAGATGAGAATTGTGGCAGGGAGCAAGAGATATGTGTAACTAAATAGTCCTGGCCAAGATGGGGGTCCCCTGATCTTTGTCTCAGTTCTTGTCTCAAGGCCATTCGAAGAAGTCCTTACTGCTTGAGGGAATAAGCTCATTCTGAGAACATGATCACTCCTGCTCTGGTTGCAGCTTTCTCATCACCATCATCTAGTGGTCGGTCCTAGGATCTGTCATTCCTGGAAGCCAAGGTCACTTCAGGTTTGGGATAACTGGAGACCTTCAGGTGCCTTTTGGAAGTCTGGAATGAAACATTAAAAAAAAAAAAAGCTGAGAATAAAATGCCTCAGTTACTCCTCTTATCCCTTCATTGTTAAAGGGGAATGAGTGAAGGCTGAGGTGCTGAGGTGAAGTGAGGAGTCAGTGCATTTTAGCAAAAGCATTTTCTAAGTGCCTGTTATAAAACTAGCTACATGGCCTCTAACCTGCACAGGACCCAGTGGAAACAGTTTCCTCACAGGCTGTTCAGGTGCTACTATTTAACAAAGATTAAGGGAATCAACTTTCCCTCCCCCCAAAATAAAGACTTGAATAAATTGCGAAACCCAGGAAAGTGTAAGTCCATTGTTATAAAATTAATATTCAAGTTATGAATTGTTCCTCTTTACAATTATACGTTCCTAAACAAGTTCAGAGAGTTTCTCCAGCCTTGATCTGCTGTGGGTAACAAGCCATGTTGACCATGCTTCATGCTCAAAATGGCACAGTTGGGAGAGGCAGCCTGAAAGTCCTACATTCCAACCTTTCCCAGCCTTTCAAGAACTCTCTAGCATTTTAGAAATTACTAAACTGGGGCTGGAGAGATGGCTTAGTGGTTAAGAACACTGACTGTTCTTGAAGAAGACCTGGGTTCGAATGCCAGCACCCACATGGCAACTAACAACTGTCCGTAACTCCAGTTCCAGGGGATCCAACAGCCTCTTCTGTCCTCCATGGGCATTGCATGACACAGGTGCACTTACCTATATGCAGGCAATACATGCATACACATAAAATAAAAATAATAAATAAAAAATATTTTTTTAATTACTAAACTGATCCAAGAATTTCAGTTTCTTGGGAATAAAGCTAATGTACCATATTATCTTAGTCATTCCAAACAGCAAGACAGGTAAGAAACAAAAACTTCAAGAAGAGAGAAAGTGTTAGAACTCAAAAATGTCACCGGGGAGGAGGAGGCAGATGAAAGGCTGGTAAATAGAAGGAAAGGAGACCATAGCCACATCATGTCTGTGACAGAGGCCAGAGCAGGGGATTGGTCTCAGAGGTACTGAGGATGGTCAGGAGACAGAAGCCAGGGCCTTTTGGAAAGTTTACATAAGGATGAGTTTGGGTTCAGGTTCCCCTTTACCTTACAGGGTTATTTTCTCAAGAAAGTAAGAAGCAAAGATGCTCTGGGCCAGATGCATCAGCACAGAACAAGGGGCCAGACGAAACCAGGGAGTGAGTCTTTTTTTTTTTTTTTAATTTTTGAAAAATTTTAATCAATAGTTCATTGAGTCCCTAGAACCTGTTGCCTATAGGTGGCCAAATATAATCTCTTTTTACAAAAAAAGTATGTGACTAACAACTTAAAACTTGGATGCATCAGCACAGAACAAGGGGCCAGACGAAACCAGGGAGTGAGTCTTTTTTTTTTTTTTTAATTTTTGAAAAATTTTAATCAATAGTTCATTGAGTCCCTAGAACCTGTTGCCTATAGGTGGCCAAATATAATCTCTTTTTACAAAAAAAGTATGTGACTAACAACTTAAAA